CATAGCTGCATCAGAAATCTGCTTCATTTACATAAGGACATTAGAAATAATTTTTAACTGGTAAAATAAACACTCTCAAGAGGTAGGATTGCCTGGCAAAACTCAAAAGGATGGAATTGCCTGGAAATCAGAGAAAAACTTTTCAAAGAGAGAGCAGTCAACAGTGACCAAAGCCATCTATTATAATGAAGCTTGATAAGATCTAAGTAATTTTGACAATTACAAGGTCATTGCTGGCTGCTGAGAGAGCATTTTCAGTGATAATATAGGACAGGAGGCCAGATGGCAGCAGACTAACAGTGGATGGGCAGTGAGAAAGTAAGCACTAAGTCTGGATTATGTTGCAAAAAGGTGAAGGGATTAAGACGTACAGATTGGCAGTTAGTAAAATAGTCATGGGGTTGTTAAGTACAGCGTAGGCAATACAGTCGATGATACTGCAGTAATTATGCATGGTGTCAGATGGATGCTAGACTTATTGGGGAGAGCACTCTGTAAGTTACATAAATGCCTAATCACTGTGCCCTACACCTGAAACGAATATAACATTGTAGGTTAACTGTAATGGCACAAAATTATTAAAAAAGAGAGAAAGGTCTGGATGTGGGAGGAAGAAAAGCACAAAAGACATGGAAGCTAAATGCATTCTAAAAGGGGAGTCAGGGTAATGTCTTTTATTTTGTGAGTTTATTTGTAAACTGAGGGGAAGGATCCAGTGGGAGGAAGAAGCTGGGCAGGGAGAGGGGAGACAGGGCGGGGGAGAGAGAGAGAGAGAGAGACTAGTTAATGGAGCAAGGTGCTGGGATGTGTGGGAGGGATGGACATAAAAAGCCACAAAAGCCGCAGGCAGAATGAAGACCTCTTTTTCCACACAAGGAGATAGTTACATGCGACTCATCAGAAAGTTACCAAAAGAAAAACTGTTTGAGAGCCACTAAATTTTTAATGGTTTATTGGATAAATACTGTGACTCCTTCGAAATGTTGGCTATGGCCACAGGATCACCCTTAGCTGATTCGCGTGTGTTTCTCCATCTTTGACTCACAAAATTCTTCTGAACCTCCACTCTTAAATATGCAACTATCACAAGGCGCACAAGACAACCAACTGGGTTTTCTATTCTGAAGATCATCTAGGCCTTTGCTGCTCTCACTGCTTCCCCTCCTGCCTGACCTTCGGGCCAATCTACATCTCTCCGTCTTCTCCATACGTTCTGAGGCTAAGTTATTAGGAGGAGATTGAAGTTATTTTTATTTCCAATTCACATCATTTCTATGGTAATACCACCTTATCCTTTTAAAAAGTGTGCATGGGCAGAAAGGCAAATACATGAACACTAGCCTGCAGGAAGCCTGAAGAAACAGCAGGTGCGTGGGATATTTTTCCAACAGTCATGCTTCCTTCTACTGAAAAGTTCCCAAAAAGTACACTAGCAAGGGCCAGATGCCTGCACAAAGAGCTACTTTGAGCTGTTCAATGTAAAATATTGAACCCACATGTGGGGGGTTCATTTCCTTTTAAAAAGCGTTAGCGTCTTTAACATACTTTTCTGCCACCATTCAACATCTATGTCCCAGCCTGGCCTTTGTGCACCCAAACGGATGTTCCAGTTGTAACTGGCAAGCTAATATCAGGAGTAGTGATAGCAACAGATTCTCTGGAAAATTCTGGCAATATTTGTATAAGTCAATACTATTTTCATCGTCTTTTGCCTCACCTTCGCACTTCCCTGAATTAAAACATTCTTTTAAGTAAATTTGACAAGATAGTAACAAGCCCACAAGTTCATTTTCAGCAGTAGATGATTCACAAACAAGGCGTTGACAGGTTTTTATGATTACAGAGTCCAAGTATCCTGGTCTCACAAAGGTGCTCATGGAGATTGATAGATATTGTAAAAAGAAACAAAGAGACATAAACAAGCTTTTTCATTAAAATGAGCGATAGAAAGTATAGACCCCCACCTACCAGTACTCTTCCTTTTGTGAGGTTTTTATTTCATTGTCTCTGACCTGCAGCCATGGTCTTTATAGGAAATGGTGAGCAAAAGAGGCTGAGAAGTAACTAAGAAGATGGGCGGATGGAAATAAATATTTCCTCAAGCATTTAGTACCCTTCTGAAATGCCCATCACTGAAATGTTAGTCCCACAGAACTACTTAGAGGGAAAAAGCAGGTAGCTGTTATTAATTTTTAAGCCTGGCTGACAGCTTTCAGTCCAAGTGCAAGTCTTAACTTTGCATTCTGAATAATGCAGAGATTTTCATTAGTTAAAATAGGATTCAAAATGATAAATGATACATTGTCTGCCAAAATACTGTGACATTACATTATACATTTGCAGTTACCTTTCAGAATAAGCTTTCCAGAAGTATACCCAGACAAATTGGAAAGCTAGCAGTATTGTTTCCTTATTTTATGTTTTGCATTTAGAAAAACAATTCAAAAGACATGTCTTCTTGGCTGTGGGTTGGTAATGTCTCGTCCAAAGAGCAGTTCATTATTGCACCTAAAAGCTAAGTGTTGGCACAAATTGTACTAGTCTATGAGATCATTGCAATTGGTTTCATAGATTCCTTTTTGCGCACATCTGCCTTCTGAAGACTCTGAGACAATTCAATTACGAGTGCACTTTTGATTCCTGCTTCTATCAATAAAAATATAAAATTACCCTTGCTTGAGAACTATCAGACTAAAAGGTTTCTGATTGCTTTTCACTGTCATCTCTCTTCCATCAGATTATCATGTCAGGTCGGTCTAGGGTGTATTTACTTTGTTTTGAGCACCCCAGACTCTTTCTGACTCTGAGTATTATTTGAACGGATGGCAACACAACAACTGTATCCAGATGTCTCTCGGTAACTTAATGTATGGCCCCAATAACAAACACTAGAATTAAACCATTAATGGAATAGGTTGTAACAGCTGCTTCAATCCTAGTTTGATGGGCATTAAAATAGCTGATTCAGAGATTTCTATAGAGTAACTTAAGCTAATTAAAGACACCAAAGTCATGGAACTACAATATCTGCCCGTGGTATACAATCCATACACATTGGCATTAATATTCTAAAAGAAGGCTAGTACAAGGTCAAAAAATGTTTACCCAATTTAGATGAGCCTTTTATTTTGCATGCCATTTTGCATTTCCCAGTTTTGCTTAAAATCACAGGCCTCAAAGAAAAGTCCTTTCTATATTTATGCTAATAGATAAAGAAGATTATTGATTATTCTATTCTCACACAGTAAGGCAGGAAAGAGCATTCCCATCGTTTGAGAGCCTCCAACTAATTCACTGAGGAGGAAAAGAAAGGATACTTTTGGTATTTACTCAAAAGTACCTTACAGGATTTAGTTGAGGTTTATCACTCTTTGTTACAATTTTTTGAAGTGTTTATTCATCCTCCATTCTAATCATTTCCATTAGGTCCTGAATCCAGTTAAAACTGTTCATATTCAATCAATTGCTTTTGGCTTTGCAGCCTGTTTTAGCTGTGGGTCGGAGGCAGGCTGCTTTGTGTACATGAATGTTGTCAGGTTGTGGAAATAACTACTCATGGAACTCCCGAAAACAGGCTTTTTGATGTTAACCTCATAGTGGGAAGTATGTCATTACAGCTGCACTTTTGAAATGTCAGAAACTTTATGGCTCAACTAGCATTAAAAAAAATACCCCCAAGCAAGCATGCAATATGTGATGCGGTGTGTTTGCATATTTTCATTGCCCGATGAGTTTCATCTCAGGTCTAGTATTTATTCCACTCAGTCAAATAAGTGGAGATGAGAGCTTATTTTGTCAGCTGGATCCCAGTTTATGCACCGTACACTACATCTGTTTGGAGGAAAGCATTCATCAGACTGCTTTGGAGTTGTATTCTAGAAAGTTCCAATGGCTCGCTTGACCCTCGCTGCTGAGTCAACTTTACAGCTCAGACCATAACTGAAGTGATATAACTAAATGTCTGATATGGTTGGGTGTGATTTGTTTACCCAATATTATTACTTTAAAATAAGTTAAGATTTCTTTTGGTATTACATGAGCCCATAACAGAGGTGTGCCAGGAAGTGCCTTGTACATTAGCAGGTAGGTGCCTAATACATGCCAGTTGTTGGCCTATGTTGCAAAAGCTCTATCTATGTAAGTTCAGGTTGTATATGCCTTTTGTTGTTGTTTTTTTAAAAAAGTTATTGTATTTTTCCATTACCATTTAACTCCATTATATGCCTCCCCCCCTGCAAACATGTGTATGTCTCTTTTTTTGAGTGTTCTACTAAAATGTGGTTACTTAGCTTTTTTAGCATCTCACTGTTTTTTACATCTTTTTTTAAGAGTGATTGTTTTTTTAAATTTTATTTATTTATCTTTAGAGGGGAAAGGAAGGAGAGAGGGAGAGAAACATCAGTGTACGGTTGCCTCCCATGTGTCCCCTGCTGGGAACTGGCTTGCAACTCAGGCATGTGCCCTGACTAGGAATTGAACTGTGGTTGTTTGGTTCCCAGGCCTGTGCTCAATCCACTGAGCTATACCAGCCAGGTACATCTTGCCTTGAAGGTTATTCAGTTTTAGTTTTCTCAGAGCACTTTATATAGTTTATATACATGTAGATCTTGCTATAATGTGTATTATTTTTGCTATTAGTCAGATTTCAAAATTCTGCAGCCGGTGTGCTTACAGTTGGTGAGGGATAAAACAGCCTGGAATCCTCTACTCAGCAACCCATTTAGGTCTCTGATGAAAGTTACTAAGGCACAATAGGACAGTGATCTGTGGGCTTCTGTATGTCTGGGAAGCTTCCCCCACAACTGGGACTGCGAGTTTCAGCAATCAGTACTATCTTATCTGAATGCAGTTTGCTTTGTAAATGTGTGATTGTAACTTTACTACGGCAAGTTCAGTCACTTTAATTCCAAATAGCAATGACTTCATAGCCCTGTAATGATTAGTTTTGGAAGCTATATCTCAGTGAAAATCAACTGCAAAGAAACAGCAGTGATACTTACAGGTGTCCTCCTCTTCCATGAAAATACTGATCACATAACAGGCATACACAAAACCAACCAACTGCAAAGAAGAGAAAAAACATGCTTTAAGAAGCTAGGCCTAATGTCCATAATTAAAGACCATATATAATCCAAAAGATAAAGAATATATAAGAGTAACGTGTAGAATTTATAACAGAAGAAATCTTGGTTTTGAACAATACCTGTGATTTTTAAGGAGGTTTTCCATTTCTATTCAACTTTAATAGCTTTCTAAAAAGCATACGGGAATAGTGAAAAAACAATTCTTAGATACTTTACTTAAATTTTGATTTGGGAAATACAGATCTTACATTTTAAGGTCACAGATTATTCAGAACATATATTTTTAAATGTTAACTACTTATAGAGCAATTTGTAGCTGCAGTCATTATTACTACAACTATTGTAATGTTTAATAACCAAAAAGGAATAAAAAATATATTAGTTACACATTAAACACCAATCACTTACTTAACTATTTAAAATGCTCAGAGAATATAAATTCTATTTAAATACCATGTTGTTTTTTAATTACAGCACAATAAAATGCATTGACTTTCAGGTGTTAGTCATAAAATCAAACAGATGAGATGACTAGTACTTTGGATACTAGTGGTTAAAAGAATAAATGCAGGTGCTTATAGGCTTTCTAGCTTTTCACATTTTTTTTCACTTATACTGAGAAGACAATTTTTATTCTATGGAGCCAGTGACACTGTAATTCTTGGAGGACAAAATTGTCATTGAATCTAGTTGAGTCTAAAATTACTCCAATAAGTACTTTGATGAAAAAGACGTTCCTCAATAGCTGTTATAGTCTGCCTTCTTACCTTTGTCTCCATTGTTAAAGTCTGTTCCTCCTTCCTTTTTATAAAATAATACGGGCAAGGAAACTTTCCTGATAGTCCCAGTGTGAACGGCTGAATGCAGGGAATAATAATATATCTGGTGGTTGTGACTGCCCTGGTAGATTAAGACTCTGAACTCATAGCACACTTCAGACTATCTAGACTAAGGCCAAGAAGTCCCTCAGAGGGTGAGTGGTTAGAATGAGAAGGACTTACACAGAGAGAGTTGCTTGCACACAGGAAGGTTCTCTCACCCCAAGTGAGGGGGTATTTCAGGGAACCAGAAACATGGGGGAACACAGGTGCTTGGTACCTAACTCCCACTTGGATAACTCAAAAGTCGGGAGGCTGTGGATAAATGGGTTTTTGGTGATAGAGTATGCAGAGACAGGGCTGAGCAGTTATGGCCAGCCAGGTGTATGGGTCCCCTTAGTCTGGCAGGTAAAGCCTTTTGGAGAGAACTGGCTGAGCTGTTCTGAAGTGGTACCCCACTCGGAGGACTTCCTGCCAGGGGCAGGTGGCCTCAGAAGAATGATGCTGCTACTTGGTATATAGAAGATGCACCAGCCAGAGAGGCTGATCACCCAGAGAAATAGCTGAGAGGATCCTAGAAGATGGTTGGCGTGGGTTTTTGAAGAACCCACAAAAGCACCTACAGAAGGAGGAGTTGCAGTTGGAATCTGTGACACCCAGAGAGCACCTCCTGCTAGATTACAGCTGAACCAGCTGAGTGAGACCTGGCTCCTTGTCTCTTCTCCCATGAGTCCTCCTTTCACTGCGTCCCTGGACTGACCAGAAAGAGAGAAGTGCAGTGAGAAAAGGGAAAGCAGCAATAGGTCCCTTCCCTGCTGCTGTCTCCAAATTGAAGTCAGACCCAGGATGAGGAGGAAAGTTTAAATAGAAGAAAGTTTGCACTGGCTTGGGCTGGGTTTTTAAAAATTGAGGTAAATATTATCTAAGCTTTAGGTGTATGATGTTATAATTCGACATATATATGCATTACAAGTGATCACCACCAAAAGTCCAGTCACCATCCATCACCATACAATGACCCCTTCACCCATTTTATCCTCCTATGAAGCCCCTCCCCCTGGCAACCACCCATCTGTCTTCTGCATCTATGTTTGTTTTTGTTTTTTAGATTCCACATATGAATAAAAAATCATAAGATATTTGTGTTTCTCCATCTGACTTATTTCACTTAGCATAACAGTTTTTGCACTCATGTTCTTGCAAATGGCAAGATCTTATTTTGTTATTTGTGACTGAATAGTATTCTGTTTATATACATTCACAGGTTCTTTATCCATTCTTCCATCATGGACACTTAGACTATTTCCATACCTTGGCTTTTGTAAATAATGCTACAGTGGATATGGGGGTGATTATATATTTTCAAATTAGTGGCATTCTTTGGATAAATGCTCAGAAGAGAAATAGATGGATCATATGATACTTCTAGTTTTACACTTTTGGAAAAATCTCCATATTGGTTTTCATAGTGTCTGTACCAATTTCCACTCCCACCAACAGTGCATGAGGGTTCCCTTTTCTCCATAACCTCCGCAACATTTTTTATTTCTTATCTTTTTATTGTTATGGGCTGAATTTTTTAATATCCATGAACAACCAAAAGGTCTGTAAGTTCAGCCCGAAATGGGATACAAAGGGTGGGATAGATTGAGGCTACAAAGTGTGCTTGCAGGGGCAGTGGGAGAAGAAATAAAATGCCTTTAACTGTATTTTACCTTGTTCATCTCATTCAGTAAAGCAGCTGCATACAGGAGAGACAAATGGCCTATGATCCTATTACAAAAAACTTCCTAATAGATTTCTTCCAGTTCTTGTTCTCATAGTTGCCATATGCTATGGTTATATTCTTCTGACTCCTGTAAATACTTATCATAAACTGAATTATTAATAACTATATAAATTTGCATAATTTAAACATACTATAATATATTTAGGCAATATACTATTATTGAACATTGGGTTCACATTATACATATTATTGTAATTAATATTAATGCTCTTTCTATATTTTGGATTACCCGACTCTCGGAAGTGACATAAGTCACACATTTCATCCTACTACAGCAGCGAAGGACAATGCTTGCTTTGTCACGCCCTTAAAATATATGCCAGTATAATAGATAAAATGGCATCTTTTCATTTATTTAATTTGCAATAGTTTTATTTCATCCAAAACATTTTCATATTTTATTAGACATTGATATATTTTTTCCAAATTATTTGCAGAAGTCCTTTACCCATTTATTAACTTGCTGTTATTTTCATTAATTTGCATGAGATCTTATGGTGTGTATATACAAGCTTTTGCTATATTTATTGCATTTATTTCTTTATGTCAGCAGGTGATAGTGATGGCTCCATAATTGTGTAATATTATCTTAGTAAATCATATACTGGAAGGTGTCTGCCTACAAATAATTTTCTTATTTTCTTGGTGGGCTTTCTCTTAGTGTGGGTTTCTCTTAGGGCTTTTTCTTCTATGTGTACGTGTACATGTAACTCAAGAGCTTTCTTGTATTAATTTTCAGTTGGTGCTGTACAAATGAGCACAAATGTGTGGGTTAACACAACACAAATTTATTATCCTACAGGTCTGGAGATCGGAAGTCTGAAATGGGTCTCTGTGGGCTAAAACAAAGGCATCAGCATGGCTGCACGCCTGGAAAATCAGGAAAATCTGGAAAATATTTTGCAGCCTTTTTCAGTATCAAGAGGTGCCTCCATTCCTAGGCTTGTGGCTCCATTTTTTCATCTTTAAGGCCAGCAACCTTGAACTGATCCTTCGTTGCTGCCATGTCCCTGGTGCCCCTCTTCTGCCACCCTGTTTCACTTTTAAGGACCCTTGTGATTCCACTGGACCCACCTGGATAATCCAGGATAATATCCTCATTTAAAGTCACCCAATTACCACTTCAATTCTGTCTGCAACCTCAGTTCATTTCCCTTTGGAAATTAGTTCATGGACGTCTTTGAGGGACTATTATTCTGCCCATCACATCTGTGAACTTGTATTTTAAGTTCTCAGCTCCCTGCACAGTGGGCTACAATGGGAAGGAAGAAGTAATAATATTGATGCAATTACTTAAATTTTAACGTATGAAGTAAAATCATATCTTGATTTAAAAAAAAGACTTGAAAGGAAACTTTGAAAAGTCATTTTTTGTATCAATTCACTCCTCTCAGGAAATACCATCTTTTAATATTGGAGAAACCACTGCCCACATCTATTTGGTGTTTGTGCATTAGTGTCTGTTTTCACATCTTTACTATAAATATGCATCTACAAGCGGAACATGATTAATTTAAATAGCATTTATTTCTAATAGTTTTCTTGACAACTTAAATTCTGAAAAAATCATCTTTCTAACTTGTTTAGGTCATCACTGTTGTTTATTTTGTATTATGGCTGACGGAGAGCTTATACGGAGAGACATGTCTGCTCTGTCTTTTCAAATTTTTTCATTCATGTGTCCATAACTAGTTTTATCTTCAATCCATAGATTCTTGCAAGAAAAGTTATAAGCCACATGGTCATTCTGTGAACATTAGTTTTCTTAAGAAATAGGCACCATAGTGTGTAAACTTACTTAACTCAGCACACAAAAATGTAATTCACCTCAATATACTCGACATGCCTGTCCCCATCAATCCCATCATGCAGTGGAGCTCCTACCTCTCACAGGACAGTCTAGAAATTCAGTGACACATGCCACTTCCTTACTTGTAGTCCTAGTGAGGCTGCCAGTGCTAAACCACATGTTAGATATTGTTAAAGACCGTTTTTTAGGTTACTGGATAAAAATAAATAGATGTAGAGGCGATATTGGCTCCCTATACTCCCATGGATTATTTCCTTTCAACACATGTGTTCCATTTTGGAATATTTTATGTACTTCTTTGCATGCATTTGCCCTCCTTTGGTGACTTACTTTGGAAATGACCTTTTTGGCTGAAAAACAGTTCAATGAGTTCAGATAACATAGGTTTTAGTGACATAAACATAGGCAAATCAGATATCTTTTGAACCCTACAGAGCCAGACCAAGTGACAACCGAACAGATTAAGGTCTCCTGTCCCGTGTGACTGAGTGACTGGTACCAAGGGTCTCTTCCAGGTGCTTTGCAAAGAGCAGGACAGTAGAAAATTGAGTGAATAATGT